AAAAATGTGTTACAGGCTTTCCTCGTTCACTCAAGCTGCCAAATATGAGAAAATTGCAACTGTTGGGGTCTTGCCCTCAACAAATGCATTATTAAGGCATGTGGATATATAGGATACTATTCACAGATACAGGTGTCTGAATCACACTTTGAACCCAAGACAAAATAATAGTTTCTGAATTAATCTGCAAAATTCAACTCCTGTCTGAATTGCCAAATCAGAGTCTGAACTGAACTGTGTGATCTATTTAAACCTCTAGTGAATATTGTATAAAAATAGTCATACATTAGATAAACAAGAGAACCCTAAATGATTCTCTCTCTCTCTCATTCTGTGTGCATGCATGCATTCATGCGCATATGTGTTGCCATTGTTGCCCACTTCAAGGACTGAACAACACAAAATGTTGGACTGCCTACACAAGAGTTCCAATCTTCCTTCAAAAGACTGTGGCTTAGGACCGCAAGTAATTAGAAGCATCCTACTAATTCAAATGTCTACAAAGAAGACACAAAACATGTATCAACTTCTCTTTTTTTGTGAGTCTCGTATTGTTACAAAGATAAACGGAATTGATAATTTCAGGTGGAAATTTGAGATATAATCTAGTTGAGTCTATATTAAATGTTAGTAGGAATGCAACACAGAACCCTAAAATCAATCCACATTTTACTCTGTTACCATCATTCCTCCCTCTTGGTTATGCTGGTTAGGACTGATGGCAACTGCAGTCTAGCAATATATGCAGAGTTGTACCATATTTTGCCCACCTCTATCCTAAATCTTTAATATGGACCCTTGTTTTACATTTAGACACACAGGTTTTTCAGCAGTTCTCATATATCCACTGAGATGATTTACCTGTGGGTTCAAATTAGTGGAAGGATCCACCTACCTGATTTAATTTATGCCTTTGAGCTCCACTGAATTTTCCAGGCAGCTTTGAAAAATCTGCAAAGCACTCACAATGTTTCTGCAGTTTGCTACCATATCTTGACCTATCATTCCTCTGACTGGCTCAGGAATGCAAATAAACACATTCCATTTGCAATGTACACAAAGATATAGGTGCACACACATATAGATGAACTTGCTGTTCCAGGATAAATGTTATTACAATAAATATAGCACTTGTTTGAATGTTGATTCATCATTAAAATCCCAGCATTTTTCCAATTAACACCTCACGATTTCTCTTACTCACAATATAAACAGTGGGAAAGAGAAGAGGGCATTGATATGATGGGTTTCATAAACCCAGAAGGTAGAAACACAGAAAGTACCTGGCAAGAAATTTGTACAAGGTAGACAAGCTCCTTAGATTCACAGCCATTCCTGGTGACTTCATTTTGCTCCTCTGGTAGTGAAAGCTATGACAGAAAGCCAAGGAGAAAGAGAGAATGGTCATTTAATAGAGCAGAGCAGACATACAAAAAAAAGCAGGTGTACAATTGCAACTGGTTTCAAATTGCACCATATATGATCCAACCTATAGTTGTGTTTGTTACCAGTCTGAAAACATGTGACACACTGTAATCCATCTTTGCTCACTGTGCTTGCTATACTAGACTTGTTGAGGGGTCAGCATGGTATGGCAGTAAATGGTTATGGGGCAGGAAGAAAATAACTAGAGAGAACAGTGAGAGATTTAGCTATATTTGTGTGATGGAGATGGATATACCGTATTTTTCCATGTATAAGACTATACTTTTGTCTAAAATCTTTAGACTAAAAATTGAGGGTTGTCTTATACATGGAAGCAAGCTGAGACAAGAACATAAACAAGTGGAGGGGAAAGCAGGGATCAAAGCAATCCTTCAGTGCTTTGATCCCTTTCCCCCTGCACTTGCTAAGCCCCACTTAGATTTCTTAATTTTGGGTTAGAAAAGTGGGGGGTCTTATACATCAGAGCATCTTATACACAGAAAAATATGGTAACTATGAACACAACAAGTGTTAACCACCAGACAAGTGAAGCTGTGTACAATCGCCTTTTATTGGTTCCTAGTACTTGCTCTGTTTAAATATTCTAATTGTTTGGAAACAGTATTGTTGTAGCTACTGTGATGTGGGGGCCGAGGCCATATTGGCACACAATTTTTACCAGACTCACACCGATCTGTTCTTTCCACAGAAATATACAACAGAAGAAACCTTTTCAATATGTTCCTTTTACTTCATGACTCTCAAACACTTCAAAATGTCAAAAGGGAGAGGGAATTTTTAAAAAAACTAAGCAAGAAGATCAGAAAGATTTGCTAATCTGTTGTCCTGATTTAGAAAAGAACATAAACTTGGTTGTTTAAAGCACAGTATGCAATTTTAAACAAAATCACAAATTACACTTAACAGTATGCGCCTACAATTAAGCCTAGTTAAGTTTTGTTAAAATGACTCTCAGGTAAATAAAAAGAGAGCGCTTATAGTCTTCTCTCACTGAACAGAATTTTCTGAATCTTACTGTTCCACTACTGCTATACATACTTTCTTTCATAAAGCAATGAAAAAAATAAAGCAGGGCCAAAGGAAACCTTTGCCTTAAAATACTGTTAAATACATACACAAGGGAAATTCAGTCCACACTTGGCTCAAACACAGAGAACTTCTACTATCCTGAGTTTGTATCATCTTTTTAGAAACAAAAACGTCATATAATCTAGGTGAGAAATGCAGCTGCCCTTCCAATTAACACACAGTTGATGGGGAATGGAAACATACTGGAAAATGCTACGCTACATGGACCCTAAGTGACCAACAACAACAAACAGATGAGTGTTAAAATCTTATGCAATGATACTGATCAGCAAAAAGGATCCGCATGCATCCAGTCAGGTATTTTAACTCTAAAGTTTATACCATCTGACATGTTGGACAACACATGGCTGTATCAACTGTTCTATGTCAAGAAACTGGTCTCATTTTGTGTCATGTGCAGGATCTCCTAAGCCAGTGTTTCACAACCTTAGGTAACCCAGGCGTTCTTGGATGGCAATTCCCAGAAGACTTCAACAACTCACTGTGCTGGTCAAGGTTTCTGCATGTTGCAGTCCAAGAACACCTGGGTTACCCAGGGGCTGGGACCTACTGTCCTAAGCAAATAATGTAGGAAGGACTGAACAAAGAGTAGTGTAAATCTATAAAAACTACATGTCAGCAGCTGGAGCTAGAACTGGAAACCTCTGGATATACAACATAGGGTAAGCTACAGAACTGGTGACTAGACCAGACACAGAGAAACCTGCTGAGGGGCCACAGAATTCATCCCACTAAGTCACCCTGTCTCTTCTGTGATGACTTGGGTGAAGTACTTTCTACTCTCTGAAGCCTCATCTCCTCTGATAAGAGAGAGGAAGTAACTATTTATCTGTCCTGTGGATGAATCTATGACAGGGCAGCAAGGAACATCCCTGTCCTTACACCTTTTGGCAACTTATCCATCTGAGGAAGTAGAGGGCAAAGAGACCTTGAGAAAGTGGTTGAATCTGCTTTGCTCCCCTTACCTTCTTTCAGTGGGAAGGGCAAAGCCAACTGCTCACTCAGCGGATGCCTGGTGTAATGGTTTCTCTGAGCATTGCCTGAGTCTCAATCCATGCCTCTCTACGTAAAGCCACACAGAGAAAGGAACAAGCTCAATCCAGCTTGCTCCTTTCTTGCTTTCTCTCCATCAGGAAGCTGGCTGCATACTCAGGCAATGTTCAAGAAAAATGACCTGGCCTACCTTCAAGACCTGTATTGATCCCACGTGGGCAATTTGCTGCTTCTTGCCAGAAAGGTCTATGAAAGGACTTCCTTGTCCAATAAGCCTAGCCTGGACAACCAAGTCTTCTTGAGATCTGATGCACTTCAAGACATCTTTTCCTTGTTCTTCACTCCTGAATTCTTCCTGGCTCTTCAGTCTTGCCATCAAATTTCTCCTTTGGTTTTGACACCTTGTGGTCCTGACGTCATCACATTTCCCCTACCTCAGCTGCTTCTCAATTCTTTCTACTTCTTCTTTGGTCCTGATGCCCTGGTTGAAATCCTGTTGGCCAGGGTCTGTCTACATACATACATAGGCATCCTTCAGTCTCGAGAGACTATGGTAACATGCTCTGAATCGAGGAGTGTCCTCTCCAGAGCATGAAGCCCGGGTAAGGTAATATGGAGATAGGCTGTTAACCAAGCAGCAGATCCCCCCTCTCCACATTGCTGAAATGGTCCAATGGAAAGACAAGAGCCAATACAACTGGTTCCAGCAATGTCGCAGGAGTTGGCAGAACGACACATGCTGCCTTCGGGACTCCAGCTCTGGATTTTGCCTCGAGGTTAACTCCTGAAGCCTTTTCCATGAGTGGATATCACATTTCCCCTACCTCAGCTGCTTCTCTGTTCTGCTTTCTACTTCTTCTTTGGTCCTAATGCCCTGGTTGAAATCCTGTTGGGCAGGGTCTGCCTACAGCAACTGGTTCCAGCAATGTCGCAGGAGTTGGCAGAACGACACATGCTGCCTTCGGGACTCCAGCTCTGGATTTTGCCTCGAGGTTAACTCCTGAAGCCTTTTCCATGAGTGGATATAGCCACAAGCCAGTGGAGGTTTGAAATCGGAGTTTTCCTTCTGCCTACACAAGCAACAGGAATGATGTCATCAGTGGTGGCTTCTTTTTGTGATTTAGGACTTCACTGAATACGAGCCATGTGCACCTTGAATGACACCAATGACATCATCCCCATTGGGCAGGAAGAACTGCACAACAATCCCTGTTACAATGCTCTTTCAGAGCACTACCTATGGCTCTGCCTGGACATCAATTGAAAGAAGAAACTTTTTTTTTCATTCACATGCCTTCTGTATAAATGTATAGCTGGTAAAAACATATAGCCATGCAGAAATGAATGGAAAGGCTGATGCACTACTTGGCAATAAATATGCCACTGTATCATGGAAACGCAACATGTTAATAAGGTTTCCAAAATGGAAGAGTCTCAGCTTGTTGGTTGGACATCATACAAATATTTACAATTGGCACCAAGGCTGCATATAATCAAACAGCAAAATTTCATTACATTTCGAAACTCCAGCTACTTGACATTTGGGGTTTGGGGGCGAGGAGAACGAGAGATATAGAAATGGTTGAACTGTCCCTTAAGTCAATGCTTCATTCAATAAAATGTGCTGCCCCCTCCCTTGACCAATGAATCCTGGCAAACGTTCATCAAAGGGCCAATTTAACAACTTTTTCCCACCAGCAAATAGTGATAGCTCTTTCTCGGGCACAAAATAGGTTGTGTATGCACGGAGACACCTATTCTTGGGACTGTGACAGCTAGAGAAAATGCAAGGAGAACATGGTTCTCAGCTGTCACAAACTAGACAAATTAGCGGTTTTTAATGTAGATCTGTGTGTGCTCACATGTACAGGTCTCTCATTCTGAATAAATCCTAAATTTCCCAAAGCAATGGCAAGAGGCCAGGTTTTGGATACTTTTTCCTCCCATTTTGTAGACCTGTGTGTCAGATTTCAGTTTGATTCTATGTCACACTGAGTACTTGGAAAGAAATTCCATTGACTTTGGCTGAAATGACTTCTACACATGTCACGTATGAGAAAAAAGTCTCTGCAAGCAGAGAAACCAGCAAACACACCACTGCTTGCTACAGAGCGAGACATTATGAGGCAGGTCTCATAAGGCAACCAGTGTCTCACCAGTTAATACCAATTTGCTATGGCGAGTGATGTGATTTAACTTACGCAAGCAGAATTGAATCACATGATTCAGAATGACCTCTAAAATAGGATATTAAACCAGAATTCTATGGCAGAGTATTCCATTGTTAGATGTGTTATACAGCTAAAAATATAGCTTGAAAAAAGTTCTTCAATTAATTAGTTTGCACCTGAGTGGAAACTGGAACCCGAGTTCCCCCAATCCCAAAATTCTTTCAAGAAAACAAAAAAATTAACGCACAATTGTGGGTCCAAAATATTAACCTTGAAAGTTGTAGTTGCCTGGAAGTAATTCTTTGCTTCCCTATTTCTCAGAAGTAACTACAATAGATACATTTAGTTGCTTTTTTTAAAAAATGACTTCTACAATACAGACCTACAGTACAAAACACACTCTTCTAGTGTCCACCTGACCAATGCTTCTGAACCCACAACAGATCCTGTGGTAGCTGTCAATTGAAGGCACCACACATAGTAGTACCTTGACCATGTGCCACCTCCTCCTCCATCACTTTTGTCAGGCCATACCCTGTAACTTTTAGAAGTCATCGTTACAATGCAACGATCATTAATCTTGACCATGTGCCACCTCCTCCTCCATCATTTTTGTGAGGCCATACCCTGTAACTTTTAGAAATCATTGTTACAATGCAAATGAAATAAAG